CTTGCCCAGAATCATAGCCTCAGTTGGGAGTATGGCCCTCCTGTGCGATCAGGGTTGCCCCTCAAGCACGCTGCAGGTAAGACACACTCTGAGCTGCCCTTGAAGGCACACATACCTCAGTAGACTAGTTCACAAATATCCCTTCTGTGCCCCTGGCAATGTGATTAAGACCTGGATGTATGGGATCTGGCCTGCAGTCCCATTCCCTGGACTACAGAGATCACTCCCTGACCCTGACAGGGAGAAGAGGGCTGGTCTCAAGTCACCCACAAGGTGCCCAAGTTGGATCCATGTCATTCTGCCTCAGTATTTGTCCTGCTCTACTGGAGTCACCAGGCAAGCAACACCTAGGAGGGCTAGCAGGTGGGGAGCTCACAGTCCAAGTATCCCTAAGTCCACTACAGAGCCCCGAAAAGAAAAGTCTCTTTCCCTGCTGATACCTTTGGGTGGTGGGACCTCCTGATCAGCTCAGGTCTGTGGGGCAGAGGTGCCGCAAGGGAGCTGGGAGCCTTGCGCACTGTCCTTAAGGGGCTCACTGCTCACTGGTGGCAGCTGTCTCTGGGCTGGTGTTGTCAGGTCTCTTTAGTAGCTCAGGAGCCCACCAGCAGTCTGAGATGCAAGGGAGGGAAAATTTAACTGCTCCACCTACCCTTATCACTGGTCTCCAAGCCTCTTAGGGTTTAGACTCTGCTGATGCTTTTCTCCTTCCAGTTCTGCTCTGCCACTTCTTGTTGTTGAGTCTCTTGCAGTTTCAGACACCCTTCCTTCTGACTCTCATCTGATCTATGTTTGTCTGCCTGTTTATTTTATTTTTTTTCACTTTCATCTAAAATCTATCTTTCTTGCAAAAACACTCTGGCTGGTGGTTTTTCTCATCGGCCATCTTGCACATCAATGCAATCCTTGGTTTTTGAACTCAAATGCTTTACTTATTATGTACGAAGAAAATATTTATAAAGAATATTTGTTATCTAGTTTTGAACCCTCCACACTCCTGCCAACAGCTCCTCTGAACTGGCAGAAGGAAATAGAAGAAGAAAGGAAGCGAAATAGTTAAGCTTGCTTAGGGCTGGGCTCATGCTTTGCCTCTATTTCCTACTCAGTATTATTTCAAAGCAGGTGGAGTGCTTATTGATAAAAACCCCCACGATAAGTTTGGATTCTCAAAAGTAGAGGCGACCAGTTTTGGGAATTCAACAAGTTCTACTCTTGTAGGTATTGCCTATGTTGGCGAGGTTATGAGTCCTGATGGATTTTTTTTTTTGGTATCCAAGAAAATAAAATCTTGATAATGATTTATAGTTTTTTTGATTCATGAGAAGATAACTAAAACTTTCTACTGCCTTCAAAGAGAGTGAGCAATTAGCTGAAAGAAAGAATCAGCAGACTAAATTAATTTCTTAGTTTTGGTTGCTTGATGCTATTGCAGACATGGAGTATGATAGACGTGTCACAGACTGACAGTGGTACAGATGCAGGGATAAAGGCCAAAAGAGACAGGGGCCACCTCAGCACATGACATTGTAGTGCAGAGGCAACCACAGACCAGATGTCTTCTACTGACCTCCTTCCCCTCCATATGAACCTCTAAAAATTAAGTACCAATTTCAGGAGAAAGAAAAAGGGAAATTCTGAATAAACAACATTTAACCCTGAGATGATCAAGGGTAGCAGGAAATGATTAAAATTCTATTTTCTGTGATCAGGCATGATGGGACCTAAGGCTCATTTATTCAACATATATATTGAACAATTGCTATTTACCAGCCACTGTTTTAGAATCTTGAGATATACTGGGGACAGAGATCTGTGCCCTTATGGAGCATACATTCTAGTGGGTGACACAGAAAAAAAATGACTAGGAAAGTTGCAATATTAAATAGGATGGTCAAAGTTGGCATCATTTTGGAGGTAAGATTAAGCAGACTCTTGATAGAGGTGAGGAGTTTAGCTAACCTGATATTCAGGGGAAAAGTATTCCAGGTGACAGAGAACAGCTAGAACAAAAGTCCTAGGGTAAGAGTACATCAGACTCATTTAAGAGAAAGCAAAGTATAGGCGAGTTATAGGAAATGAGGGCACAGAGTTAACAGGGGGCAGATCTTAGAGGCTTACAGCTCACTTTGCAGAATTTGGCTTTTACTTTGGGTAATACAGGACTCCATTAGAGTGCTGTGAAAAGGAGGAAAGTGATCTGATTCACTTTTCCAAGGGATCATTCTGCCTGGTGCCATGGATATACACAGAAGGGACAAGCATAGTGATAATGAGATCAATTATGAGATTATTGTTGTAATTCAGGCAGGGGATAATAGTAGCCATGGTAAAAGTAAGCACAGTGGTCAGAGTTTGAATATATTTTAAAGGTAGAGCCAATAAAATTTCCTACTGGATTAGATGAAAGATATCAGAGAAAGAAGAAGTCAAGAGAACTCCAAAGTTTTTTGTCCTGAGTTACTGGAAGAATGTACTTGCAATCCACTGAGTTGAGGAAGGCTACCTGATGAACAGGTCTGGAGTTGGAGGAAAGATCCAGAGACTAAACTTGGGCATGTTAACTTTAAGATGTCTATCTGACAGCCAATTGGAATTTTGAGCATGTAGTTAGGTACATGAAATTGATGGGTCTTGATTGGATATATTAAGGAGTTTTCAGCACATAGATAGTATTTAAAATCCTAGGGCTGAATTGAGGGCTGGTTCCCTGTTCATATGTTTGAGTAATTTATTAACATACCACTATCTTGCAATAACAACCATAAATTATAGATAAAATACCAAAAATAACTACTCAAGGCTTTGGGATTTAACCCAGGCAGATTATGGATTATGTTGAAAAATTAAAACATGTAAAGAGTAACTGACATTGGGTGAATTTCTCCTTTTTACAACTTTTAGCCTGCATACTATCATCAGTAGTTTCTGCAAGGAGTGTCTAAAACTCTAACATAAAATCTTAAGTTGTTCTGGACTGAAGAATCAAAAGACAGAGTTTGGGGCAACCACAGACAGTAGAAAGTTAATGGGGAAACAGAGAGCCAGAAAGGGAAGGTCTAATCTCTGTGTATAAACTCTAACAAGTCTCTGGCTGACACTTGAACCATAAGTATGTAGAAAAGACTTTGGCTAAGGACAAAATAAGTGAACTGGCATTTGAGCAACCTCAGGAGAGAAAGGGTTTGTAGTTTGAGTCCAATTACGTTAACTATCTAATAAAACAAAAATTCTACTTTTTGGAGAAATATAATAGAATATAGAGTCCCCATAATATAACATTTACAATATTTTGAATATAATCTGAAATTAGTCAACATATGAAGAATCAGTAAAATGTGACTATTGTCAAGAGAAATAACAATCATTGGAGTCCAACATTGAGATGACTCAGATGTTAGAAAGATCAGGCAAGGATTTTAAGTTTGATATTTTAACTGTGTTCAATGAAGAAAGAAAAGATATTTATAATGGATGAAAATATAAAAATTCTCAACAGAAAAACAGAAAACAAAGATGAACCAAATGAAAATTTTAGAACTAAAAAACACAGGATGTGAATTAAAGAATTCACAAGTGTGCTTAACAGTAGAATGGAGATAACAAAGGAAAGAGTCAGTGAACTTGAAGAATGATCACTAGAAATTATCCAATCTGGAAAAGTAAGAAAATAAATATTCATAAATTTGAACAGAAATTTAAGAATTTGTGGACAATATCAAAAGGACTAACAACAGGACGTGGAATCCAGAAGAGAGGAAAGAGATTGAGCCAGAAAAAGCAGTCTTTAATTTGGTGAAAGATTCAATAATATACATTCAAGAAGTTAAGCAAACTCAGATTAAGGCAAATATAAATCAAACTATTCCTGGTCACATCATAGTCAAACTTCTGAAAACCAAAGATAAAGAGAAAATATTTAAAGCAGCAAGAGAAAAATGACAAATTACCTACAAGGGAACGAGCCACTGACTTCAAATCAGAAACCATGGACACTAGAAAAATGTCTTGTGTTCATGTAAGTTGTGGAGCTAGATAAGATCACTAAGGGAGCAGACAGAGAAGAGGAACTTAGGCATTAAGTATTATAGAAGTGATAAGAGAGAAATGAAGACCAAGAATGTCATTGAGGTGTCCTGGAATATGTCTCAAAAGGGAGAGAATGATCAACTGTGTCAAATGCTGCCGATAAGTCAAGGCCAGAAAACTGGCCATTGGATTGAGCAACATGGAAGTAAATAATTCATCTTGACAGGAACAGTGTGGGTATAATGATGGGCTTAGAACTTGGTTAGAGTGGGTTTAGGAGAGAATGAGAAGAAATGAATTGGAAATAATAAATTAAGGCAACTCTTTCAAAGAGTTTTACCTTGCATGAGGAGGAAAAAATGGAATAGTAGTTAACAGAGAGAGTGGGGTCAAGTGAAGCTTTTGTTGTTGTTGTTGTTAGCATGCTAATTAGCATAATCTGTTAAAGAGCAGAACAAAATTCCAAGCATAAAAAGGGAGAGAATTGTCTATTGCTATCAGGTCTGTAGAAAAACAAAACAAAACATTTGAGCTAGAATTGTACACATGAATATGTGACTTGAATTATCATATCGCCTCTATATTATACAAGGCCCTTTACTCCCCAGACTTCACTATGTACATACAATTTGGTCATTTTTGAATGTAATATTTGAAAGTACATCTAGTAAAAATTATGTCAAATTTTATGATTTTATAGAGTAGTAACTTCTATTTGTTCTTTTTGATTTTTAATTTATGGACATGTTTTAAATAATGACAGGTTACATTTCAAAAATTATGTTTTAAATTATTTTAAACTCAGAAAATGCATTTTTCTAACAATATTGGTGTCATGTGTGGTAGTTTATCCTGGCCAGTTCACCCAATCTTATAAAGTAGTTGAATTGTATTACTAATTATTTGAGATGTTTCAGATATTAAGACTTTTATTTCTATGGTAAAACTTATTCTAATCTCCAACCCAAGATTCTGGAACCCATCTCCCATTATGAAGTGGACCTGAAGGTAGGAGTGGAAACACAGCCTCCTATCCGCACTCCACACCCTCATCTTCCAGCAGTGAGGGTGGGATATTAAGGCTCTCATGGCATCAAGGATTGAAGCAATGGGATAATGGAGATCCTGGACATTTGTTTCTTCACCAGTGAAAATTAAATGAAGACCCAGGAGTCACTACAACTATAGGGATGAGAAGGAAGTTTCAGCAGCTAGAGTGTGGTGGTGAGTTTCTGGTTTCATAGCTGCGTATATACGAGGGTGTGTTAAAGTCTTTCTGTGCTGTACAGGTTATGTGTGTGCATACATGTGCTATTTTTTTCTGTACATACTGAAGTCCTGTCAGCTTGTAAACCCAACATCTAAAAAGTGTCAGTTAATAAACTTTCATCCAGATCCCTGCTTTTATGATTAAGAGATTAGGATTATGTTAACTAAGGATAGATTTAGACTAACATATTTTAAAGGATTTCCAAGAGAAGTCCATTTCCTAAACATTCTGCACCTACAAGATTGTACAGTGATAATTAGTGTATGTGTGTAATGGTGATGCTCAGGGCAGGGAAAAATTTCTGAAAGGAATTATGAATCATCCATAGTTAAATTATTCACAGCATGGATTTAGTATTCTTTGTAAATCTTTGAACATTGACAAACCATATAATTCATGGGTAAAAGGAATGTTAACCAGAACAGTTCCCAATCATGGGGGTGAGAACTTATGATTGTGTCCTTAAATGGAGAGATATTTTATTTATATTTTATTGAAGTAAATTTTTCTTTCTTTTCTTCTTGATCTTCTGGGTCATTGTTACAACTGTTTCCATTCACCATTTTCTGCTTACATTGGAAGATAAAGCTGATATTCTTAGATACATATTGGACCTTAAGAATTGGAGGTACATTTGCCTGTTTGTGAGGATATTGAATGACTTTAAACTTGCTAGTTAGAACATTTCTTATCTCAAATGCACCAGGGAAGCACATAGGTTCAAAAGGTTTAGAGTCATTGTAATTATGACTCATTGAGAGTATGAATTACAGCTAAGTAATTTTCTTTTCTTGTTTCAAAAGAAATGGGTACACAGATGTATATTCTGAATACTTGCAGAGTCTTAATTGCTTGCCACGGGGTAGTATTTAGGAGCATGATTAAATGGGTTAAGACACATCTATAGAAAGGAAACTTCTAAGAGGGAATGTACTTGTTAACGCTGCTTCTGGGATTGAATTTAAGATTTGTGACATTTTTCTACTTTCTAAAAATTGCATGTGGTTTATGTACACAGTGTTAGAAACTAGCTGTATTTTTCATCAATGCTATATTTTGTGCTGATTCATTGACATTTTTCTCAAATAATAGTTGTTATTTCAAAACTCCTCACTTTTCAGAAATGGCATAGGCTTAAGTATCAAGATCTCTTCTCTGTAATTGTATTCTTCTAAGATATCACTGGTGCTGCGATCAGGAGCTATTTGTTCAATCGTGACCTGTGGGGCTTTCTTAACCTCTTATAAACTTAAGTGCCAATCACCAGGCTGGATATAATTAGGCTTTGGTGATATCTTTGAGCTTTGAAGGCTAATGGATAGCCTCAAGTATTTAAATAACTGCTTGAACTTTTTTAATTGATACAAACTGTCTGTATAATTCCACTTCGTCTAGTATGCCACCTGAAGAGTTTATCTTAGGTTTATGTACTTAATTGATAGTGTACAATGGTACAAGATATTTATATGAGTTTTTGTCTTACTGGACTGCATGTGAGATAACTATTCTAAGTTATATTTTAAATATATATACCAACTTCAGAGACTAATACAATGGAATCAATGTTTATATACTAGATCTGCACATTTAATTTTTTCTAATATTTCTTTTGTAAATATACTGAAACTTATGCATCCAATAATTGTTTCTATTTTTTTACATTGCAAATTTATATGAACACATTTTTACTTTTCAGTTAAAATTAGAGTATCCATGTGAAATTGATGAAAACTATACAAAATGATTTAATATTTAGCTATAATAACCAATTATTTGAAGACTTTCATTTGCATTGTAAGGTTTTATTGATTTCCTATGTTAAAAATAATCAAGATCCATCTGGAGGAATAATTGAGTTCAGAGATTATTGTTCTACAAAAAATAAGAGAATAAAATGTACATTAAATATTGACCTGAATCGTGATTTATATAATATGAATTTTTATAACAGAAATTGTGGAAGTAAAAAGAATTATAAACAAGAAAATGATTTTTAGAATTTATCATTGAGAATTAATCTTAGTATCACAGATTTGGAGTAGCTATGTATTTCTGAGTCTGAAATTCTTGTTCTGCAATGTGCCTGCCAGGTGACATAAGCAAGTTAGGAGACTTCTGTGAGCAGCTGTTTCCTCATCTCTAAGATGGGGAAATAATTATGTCAAATACTCAACACTTTTTGATATTTCATGGACACAATAAATGCTATATCATTGTTATTATTCCCACAGAAAAAATTATCCTATTACTCTTTAGTTTCACTTTGATTATAACCAGAATTATAATCAGATTTGGCTTTAGATTGCCTTGAACTCTTTTTAAACACAAAATTATGCCCTCAAAGTATTAAGAGTTGACAATACTTATGCTAGAGTCTGAGGGAAATTTACTTTTCTGAAAGGTAACTATGTGAGAAAGTCACCATTTATTTGAATGTATACATTTTAGTATATTTGAAAAAAATAGCGATGCTCTATAATCACTCATATATTGATGTGCTTTTGTTTATTGTATTCTCTTGATAAGTAGAGGATTATATAAAATCACATGTCATTAGATATTATTAAATCTAAGTCATGAAATGGGTCATTCCCGGATTGCTAACCTATATACTAGTACAAATATATTATTTTTGGTGTTTTTGTTTGATAATTTTTATTTGAAAGAAGTTTGTGTGGATGTATGCATGTATACATGTATGTATTTTTCTTTTTTTTTAGTATTTGCAACTAGTATGGTATAGTAAACAATCTCCAAAACAAATCTTTGCTATGCCATTGTATAGATATATAATTTTAGGGTTCTGTATGACAAATAAGAAATGCCTTAGAATTAAGGAGCATATGTCTACTCATAATTTTTATTTAAAAGAGAGCAGAGGCATTTGCACATGTCTTCTTCTATTGTTGGGAAAAAAAGAGTATGAGCCATGGTTTTAAAAAACAACAACAAAAAAGCTGTATGTACATGACTCTGCTACCTCCATTAGTTCTTGGAAACAGATTATAATTTTGTAGGTTGGTAATTTTGGTGTGCGTCTTACCTTTGGTTTCAGAAACTAATGGATATAGCAGAGTTATGTATGTATAATTATCTTTTTTTCTGGTAGCTACTAGCCATATAAGGCTATGAGCACTTGAAATTTGGCTTTTGTGACTGAAAAACTGAATTTTAAATTTTATTTACTATTAATTGATTTATATTTACATTTGAATAGGCACATTTGGCTAGGGGATGCCATATGGAACAGTACATTTCTGGATTTATGCACAATTTTCATACATGGTTCCATTTATGTCTTGCTTTGCTGCTGACAATGCCTAGGGTACAAGCGCCTTGGCATGCGTATCCCTGAACCAACCCCCTCATCTTACAGAAATGGCTCATGCAGAAGATTACAAAGCAACATACAAGCAACACTGAGGCTCAGATCTCTAGATTTTGTGTCCCAGTTTTAGAGTTCCCAACAGAACTTAATTTCTGATTTTCTTATGATAAGTGATAAACTTGGCACATAGTGATAATGATATTCAATAAGCGTAGTGATTAAACTCTAAGTAACTTTCTGTGGTATGGTGGTAAGAATTGAGAGGAAAAAAGAATAAAGGGAGCATTCTTATAACTTGTCTCTGCCCATTATCTCTCCAGTGAATCTGTTGACAGAAGTGGCTATGTTCTTAATAATAAGCATTATCACTGGGCTTAGTAACGAATTATTAGTTGGAGTTTGTTATGTGAAAGCTGCTAAATTGAGTATGAGATAAAGAATGACATCGATATAAATCAGTTAGGGCTACTTTTAAAAGTTGTTTTCTGATAATAAAACATAGACTATTTTAATAATAGTAAACACATTACAATGAAGTACACAGGGTTAGTGATTTGGGGATCAAAGGGCCATTGCACATAAATCACTAAACAAATGCCATCTAGAGACTGAGACTAGAATTTTTATGTCTTTTTGTTTAAATCCAGATTTTCTCTTACCAGGAGAAAATTTGAAATTACCAGAATATAAGAAGCAAATTAGTGCAATGTGCTCTTCAAAGTTACCTTTATGATAATAGAACACAGAAGAAATTGTCACGTAGCTGCTTTCATCTTCCCAATCTATATTTCACAGTGGCTCTTTTAAGTCATTCAGTTTTCCCTATTATTACAATATATTTATAGGATGGTACACAATAAGAAAGCCTGACTCCTGTTATTTCAATAAGAATAATTTCCACAAAGTTTTTGGAGGATTAAACGTTCAAGATTTCATGATTTGCAATCCAAGTGCTACAAACTTTGTGGTAGAATTTCAGTAGATGCTGATAATATTTCTGCCAGAAATTTAACTAGTCTCAAACTCTACTCAAAGGCATTCTTGAAATTAAGAGTAGCAGGCTGTTAACTACCTGAGTGCCTCATCTTTTAAAAACTGTTTATAAGATTTTGGTGAGACATATAAAATAATTTCCATCACCAACAAAATTTTCCTTGTGGAAGCAACAAATGCTTTGAGCTTTAAATGTTTATATATTCCGAACTTGCAATGAAGGCATGCACTTTTTATTTCCTTGAGACATTGTTTTAAAATCTTCTGTTTAAATTGTTATTCTCTGAGCTTTAGTAATAATTATAGGTTCATACTGAATAACTCATCAAATCTTGGAAGAAAACAATAGAAATAATAGCAAGAGAGACTGAGTTTAGAAAACTGAGTCTAAAATTGAGTTCAAAGCTAATTGCTCTTGTTTGGGGTCTACATGATACAAATTGGATACTTACATGGATTTGATGTACTAATTCCTTTTGTGTTATGCAATTTTTAAAAATCTGTATAGGTAACCTATTAATATGAAGTTGGCTTTCATTTAAACTTATTATCTCCCATTCCATTGGAAAGATCTCTGTTTAGAACTATGGGAAACAAGGGCAAACATACACATTTCTAATGATAAATTAATAA